AGGAGATCGGGGGAGACATCTCGGGGGCGCGCAAGCATGGGTTACGTAGCGATCCATTGACTTGGCGCGCGGTCGCCAAATCCATGGGTCGGGGGAGGTGCCCTGCTCCAAAATGCGGCCGGTGCCGCCTCGCCTGGCGGCGGAATTCCGCGATTTCCCGTGGAAACGGGGCCCGTCAGTAGTCCATGCCCCCTTGATCCATGTTTGCGATCGCCTGATAGGAGGCAACGGCTGGCAGGTTTTCGTCGGAAAAATAAAAAAGGATTAAGCCCAATTGGTGGGCTGTTACGCCAGATTGGACCTCGGATGAAGCGGGATTAAGCCGGATTAATCGGGATAAAGCCGGACTAAACCGGATTAAGCGGGATTGAGCCGGATTTCGGACCAAGGCAAAATCAGAATTTGACCTCCGAAGAGTTGCATCCGAATGAATCTCGCCGTCCCGGCCATGAGATCCACTCCCCCCATAGGCGGACCTGGGGACACCCCCCAAGAGCACGAGACCCTGCGCCGGCCAAAACACATACAGAACAGCCAAGGCTGCCCTCCCCAGGATGCACAGGAACATCCAGAAAGCACGAAGCATATTAGGGTCCCCCCCCCGAACGGACCTCGATCTTACACCTCTCGGTCCGACTCCCCAGGATGCACAGGAACATCCAACAGGCACGAAAAACATTGGGGCCCCCCTTTCGAGCCGACCTCGATCTTCTACCTCGGCCCGACTGCACCGATCACCGCCCTCCTGGATGCCCCCCCGACAGATCTGGGCCCAGCCTGGCCGCAGCCTGGCACCGAGATGCAGCACTCGGCGGCGACGAGCGAGGGGGGGACGTGAGAAGTTCCGAGTTCGAGGTTCGAGGTTTTCGGACGTTTCCGTCGGTTCTGGGCGGCCTTCCAGCCTCGGGATGCGTTCCAGCGACTGCGCCTCGGCGAGAGCGTCCCGAACCGCCCGTCGAAATCCCGAGCGGCCGCCAGAGGTCCGAGTGATGACCCAAAACCAAATTCGGTGGCGCGACCGGGAGGAAGCGAGAATGAGAAGGCCTTCTCAGAAGGCGGAGGGGCTTCTCCGAAGCCCTCGCGCCTTCTGACGAGTCGTCTGTGTCTTCGGGGAAGAACACCTCTCAGAGGGCGGGAGGCTTCCGAGCAAGGCCTTCTCTTTCTCACTTCCTCCCCTGGCTCGCCGTCGAAACGCGAGAGCGCTCGAACAGAAATCACGCCGTCCGCTGCCGCATGACGGGCAGCGCGAAGCGATGATCGCTTCGATCTGAGGACCAAGACCAGGCGGGTCGCCGCCGACCACGGGGCAACCCTCGCACTTCTCAGCCCTCCTGTGTATCGTGCGGGTCCTCGCCTTGAGCGCGCAACGCCGCGCGTCTCACCTCACTCCTCCCACTCCTCGTCCCACTCTTCCTCCTCTTCCTCCTCCTCCTACTACTATTACTACTACTACTGCTGCTACTACTACTACTGCTGCTACTACTACTACTGCTACTGCTACTGCTACTGCTACTGCTACTGCTACTGCTACTGCTACTGCTACTGCTACTGCTACTGCTACTACTACTACTACTACTACTACTACTACTACCACTACTTTTACTTTTACTACTACTACTACTACTACTACTACTACTACTACTACTACTACTACTACTACTACTACTACTACTACTACTACTACTACTACTACTACCACTACTACTACTACTACTACTACTACTACTACTACTACTACTACTACTACTACTACTACTACTACTACTACTACTACTACTACTACTACTACTGGAATTACTAAAAATACTAGTACTACTAGTACTGCTAGCACTAGTAGTCGTAGTAGTAGTAGTAGTAGTAGTAGTAGTAGTAGTAGTAGTAGTAGTAGTAGTAGTAGTAGTAGTACTACTACTGCTACTACTACTAGTACTAGTACTAGCACTAGTACTACGACTACGACTGCGACTACTACTACTGCTGCTGCTCCTACTACTACTACTACTATTACTACTACTACTATTATTATTATTACTACTACTACTACGACTACGACTACGACTACGACTACGCCTGCGACTACGACTTCGACTTCGACGTCGACTGCGACTACGACTTCGTTTGTTATTACTACTAGTACTAGTACAAGTACAAGTACTAGTACTAGTACTAGTACTACTCGTACTCGTACTCGTACTCGTACTCGTACTCGAACTACTACTACTACTACTACTACTACTACTACTACTACTACTACTACTACTACTACTAATACTACTACTACCTCTACTACCTCTACTACCTCTACTACTACTACTACTACTACTACTACTACTACTACTACTACTACTACTACTACTACTACTACTACTACTACTACTACTACTACTACTACTACTACTACTACTACTACTACTACTACTACTACTACTACTACTACTACTACTACCTACTACTACTACTACTACTACTACTGCTGCTATACTACTACTACTACTACTACGACGACTACGACTGCTACGAAGTACTCTACTACTACTACTGCGCTGCTATACTACTACTACTACTACTCTACTACGACTACGACTACTACTACTACTACTACTACTACTACGCCTACTCCTACTCCTACTCCTCTCCTCCTCCTACTACTACTACTACTACTACTACCACTACTACTACTACTACTACTACTACTACTACTACTACTACTACTACTACTACTACTACTACTACTACTACTACTACTACTACTACTACTACTACTACTACTACTCTACTCTACCTCTACTACTACTACTACTACTACTACTACTACTACTACTGCTACTACTACTACTACTACTACTACTACTACTACTACTACTACTACTACTACTACTACTTCTACTACTACTACTACTACTACTTCTACTACTACTCCTCCTACTACTCCTACTACTCCTTCTCCCAATTTCGGCGCACCTCTCACGAGCTCGACGCCAGTGAGGGCCCCGCATGCATTCCCGCACCCATTTCGGAACACCCCCTGGCGCCCCAGAGGGGGCGCCCGCATGCATTGCTCCGCCCGTTTCGGCGCACCCCTCTCGAGGATCTTGACCCCGCAGGGAGCTCCACCTTGGGCACCCGAGAGGGCGCCCGCATGCCGCACCCCTATCGCGGATCGTGGCGCCACGGAGAGCTCACGGCCCCGGCGAGGGGGCTCGCATGCAGGAGGAGGAGGAGGAGGAGGAGGAGGAGGAGGAGGAGGAGGAGGAGGGAGGAGGAGGAGAGGAGGAGGAGGAGGAGGAGGAGGAGGTGAGGAGGAGGACGAGGAGGAGGAGGAGGAAGGCCCCGCGCCCAGTTGCAGCGCACCTCTCACGCGGATCGTGCTTCACAGGGGGACCCGGGAGCTTCCGCCCGGGGTCTCCCACGGGCGCGCCCTTGTGCGTGCCTTCGCCCAGGCGCGGCGCGACCCCTCCTCCTCCTCCTCCTCTCCTCCTCCTCCTCCTCTCCTCTTCTCCTCTTCTCCTCTTCTCCTCTTCTTCTCCTCCTCCTCCTCCTCCTCCTCCTCCTCCTCCTCCTCCTCCTCCTCCTTCCTCCTCCTCTCTCCTCCTCCCCCCTCCCTCCTCCTTCCCTTCCTCCTCCTCCTCCTCCTCCTCCTCCTCCTCCTCCTCCTCCTCCTCCTCCTCCTCCTCCTCCTTCCTCCTCCCCCCCCTCCCCCCCTCCTCCCTCTCCTCCACCCACGGCACCAGTGGGCGCGCTCGCATCGCCCCCTCCCCTCCCTTCACCCCATCTCGGCACGCCGATCACGCGGGTCGTGCCCCACAGGAGCCCAAACTCGATCCAATCCGCGGCGCAGGGAATAGGAAGAGAGGGCCGTGCCCTGCGCTTCACCCAGCTACAGAATGTTGGGCCCTTCGCCAAGCGGATTGCGTTTTCATGGCTTGGGGACCCCAGAGGTCTCGAACCGCTGCTCGAAGTCTTGGGCATGAAACTCAAGAGCAAGATGGCCCCGGGGCCGTCGTGGGATGAGCCACGGCACGGGTGACACCACCGATGTGCATGCGCGGGTGGGCGTCTGAGAACAGTTTAGCGGCAAGCAAACCGACGGTCACATCTACAAGCCTCCTCACAGCAAGGAGCGGAAAACCGATCACGCTGGGCGCACTGATATGATGTTGGGGGGGGGACGTCATTGGTGGCGTGGACGACGAACCCGACAACGATGGCGAGGAACTCAACAGCGAGACGACCCTTGTTCGTCAACGGCAAGACGGCCAGGGTAATACACAACTGGCCACGGCACATCCAGCTTGAACGAGGCGGATCGGATGCGTGGGCGGGCGTTGGAGCTGTGCAGCGGCAAGAAAGCAGGCTACGAAACCAGCGCGGAAACCCTGCGATTCAACGTCGCGACACCTTCCACGGTACAGTCGGACCTAGGCCAGAAGAACGCCCCTCAAGAACAGGCGACCTTCCGTCGGCCCAGGCAAACACGACATCCAGGGGGGGCACCCTCCCCAGGGTGCACAAGCGCACCAGAGAGACATTACGAGAAGCAGGAGGGCACCCTCCCCGAACCGACCTCGATCTCTTATGCCTCGGCCCGACGGTAATACCTCCGGCTCCCAGCGCGGCTGCACAGGCGCGGCTGGGCGCGGAGGAGGAGGAGGAGGAGGAGGAGGAGGAGGAGGAGGAGGAGGAGGAGGGGGAGGAGGAGGGGAGGAGGAGAGGAGGAGGAGGAGGAGGAGGAGGAGGACGAGGAGGAGGAGGGGGCAGGAGGGGCGCCGGCGCGGCGCTCGCCGGCGAGGCGGGCGAGGAGCTCCACGGCGCCAAAGCTGCGTGCCCCGCACGGCAGGCCCCGCGCCGCCCCGCCGCCGACCTCCCGCGCGCCAGCGAAAACGAGCCGGGGCAGGCGGCGGCAGCCCGAGAGGGCTGCCCGCGAAGGAGCGGGCGCGGGGCCGAGCCGTGGCGCGGAGCGCGGCGCGCTGGAGGCCCCGGCCACAGGGCACGGCGCGCGCGCTCGCCCCCCCGCCCCCCCCTCCAGCTCCTCCTCCCTCCTCCTCCCCGCCTCCCCTCCTCCTCCTCCTCCTCCTCCTCCTCCTCCGCCTCCCCTCCTCCTCCCCCTCCTCCTCCTCCTCCCTCCTCCTCCTCCTCCTCCTCCTCCTCCTCCCCTCTCCTCCTCCTCTCCTCCTCCTCCTCCTCCTCCTCCTCCTCCTCCTCCTCCTCCTCCTCCCCCTCCTCCCCCTCCCCCCCCTCCAGCGGCTCACTCTCGTGGCGAGCGTGGCTTTCGGAAGGGCCAGCGCCGGCACGTGGTCGCCCCCTCTGGTGTGCCGAGGGCCCGCCAGGGATGAGGGAGGAAAAAAGGCCGCTGGAAACGGCACGAGTGTAACCGTACACCGAAGCCATCCCGACCCCTGCCCTCTTCCAATATCCTTCGTTCCCTCCCGAAAATTGTTTGCCCCTCCCCCTCCGCTGGGTCTGGAGGGGAGGGGGCGAGGGGTCAGAAGGTTCTTTCTGGCCCAAGATGACTTTCATATGGTTCTATATGCCCCATTTTTACCTCCAACTGTGACTTAGTATAGCTCAGTCTGGCTTCCCAAATGCTTATGCCTCAAGGCCACTCCAAGACGGCTCCGAGTGGCCACGGAGCCTCCCAAGGATGCCCACAAGAAGCCCACCGCTTCTCAAACATGAGGGCAACCGCAAGCTTCTGCCTTCTCGCCCTTTCGCTCCCGATTGGCTTTGGAGGCCTCACGATGCCGCCTATATTGCGCCATATAACCCCCTTATGGGCCTCTGAGGGCTCCAAGGAGGCCCTAACGACGCCCAAGCGCGCCCCAAGAGGGCCCAACGAGAGGCGAGATTTTCCGGACTCAACAGGGGCAGGGCCAATGCGCTCTCCGCTTCTTTGATCGATGTCGTCCAAGACAGCACCAAGAAGCTCCCCACGGCTCCAAGAAAGCCCGAAAGTCTTCCAACATAGCTCCAAGAAGGCCCCAACATGGCCGCAAGAGGCATTCGAAAGGCTCCCAGAGCGAAAGATCCGCGCATTCCTTCATGGTTGACTCCTGCCGTCGTTGCCACCGTCCTCCTCGTCCTCGTCCTCGTCGATGCCTCGTCGTCGCCCCTTCCTCTCCATTCTCTTCGTCCTGCTCTTGCTCCTCCTTTCCCCTCCCCCTGTCCATCCTCGTCTCAACTGTCCTTCCCTTTTCCACTTTCTCCGCCTACTCCTCCTTCTTCGACGGCAAGCTCGACAATTCCACTCCTGGGTCTGCTCAAGCTGATTCCTGGCTTGGGTTTGACGGCTCATTCGCCTGTCTGTTTCACTGCATGCTCCTGCGCTGCCCTTATGACAGCAGCTCGCCTGGCGGTTGCCTCTGGATGGGCTGGTAGGGGTACTTTTTTGGTTCGCGGGCTCGCGAAGCAGGTCGAAAGCCAGGCAAAACTAGGGCGGGCCGCGCCGAAGCAAAGGAAAGACAACCGTGCAACAGCTGCACGGGTGGAGGGCGGCTCTTTTCTTACATCGGGCTATCGCTTTACCACTGTCTTGAGATGTATACCAACAACTTTGTAGATGTGCAACTCTTGCGCGCATGCTGTGACAATTTCCTTCCAAAGCGGAGCTCTCGCCAGACGCTCCCTTTAACTCTGTGGCCCTGCATCCTGCAACTCGGTATAGCTGAAAAAATGTAGGGTGGATCCTTCGCCAAAAGGGTCTCGCCTGTATGTCAGACCCACGGCCCATTCGTCTGTAAAGGGGGGTGCTCCTCGCAGTGGGAAGGAGTGCTTGTAGAGACTTCTGGGGACAGGATCTGGGACGGAAGGCTGTGCTGCAACATCGCTGAGCCTCCTCCTCCTTCCCACCCCCCTCCTCCTCCTCCTCCTCCTCACCCTCCTCTTTTCGCAGAGCCCCTCTCCTGCTCCTCCGCCTCGCCCCCCCGCCTCTTCCTCGTCCTCCTCCTCGCCTTGCGTCCCCCTCGCCCCCTTCGTCGTCGCCGCCGTCGCCGCCGCAGGCCGCCGCACGAAAACCGAGGCCGCCGGGCTGGGCCTGGGCAGCCGTCCTGCGGGGGGCGCCCGGCACCGGGGCTCCTCGCCCCAAGGGGGGCACCTTGCGCGCGGGTCCACGTCACCGTCGCCGTCGCCGCCGCCGCCGTCGTCCTGCTCTTCGTCCTCGTCGACGTCGTCGTCGTCGTCGTCGTCGTCGTCGTCGTCGTCCTCCTCCTCCTCCTCCTCCTCCTCCTCCTCCTCCTCCTCTTCGTCCACTCCTTCCCCCTTCCCTCGTCCCCCCGCTCTTCTTCCTGGTCGTCGTGGCCCTCCTGGTGCGGCAACCGCTGGTTTCGCCGACGGCTGGTTTCGAGCGGCTGGTTTTGCCGCCGGGTAAAACCAGCTGCCATCGGCGAAACCAGCTGCCGTCGGCGCAACCAGCTGCCGTCGCGAAACCAAATGCCGTCGGCGAAACTGCCCGAAAAGGGAGGTGGCCGTCAAAGGGATGTGGCCGTCGCACCAGGGCACAAAGGGCTCGGCCGAGGCAAAACAGGACGCCAAAGACCACCTGGGGGATCACCTCCACGTCTGCCGCCATCCGAGCCTCGAGCCGTGTCCCATGCTGGACCCTCCGAAGTGTCGTCGTTCCTGCCACGGGCACGGCGATGCCGCTCGCATCGGCGCGCATGGCGACGCTCCGCCGAACACACGCCTGGCCACGTCGGCGCGCGGTCCGCCAGCCTGGCCTGCGGTCGCCCGCGGGCGCCTCCCCACCTCGCCGCAGCTGGCGACCGCGTCGAGCGCCCCCCTCCGCGCCAGGCGAACGCCCTCGAGGAGGAGGAGGAGGAGGAGGAGGAGGAGGAGGAGGAGGAGGAGGAGGAGGAGGAGGAGGAGGAGGAGGAGGGGAGAGGATGGAGGAGGAAGGAGGGAGGAGGAGGAGGAAAGAGGAGGAGGGAGGAGGGAGGAAAAGGGGGAGCTCGAGGAGGAGGAGGAGGAGGAGGAGGAGGAGGAGGAGGAGGAGGAGGAGGAGGAGGAGGAGGAGGAGGAGACGCCCGATCTCTTCCCAGAGCTCGGGGACGGCGCGATCCGCCGCACGCCGCGCCCACTCTCGTGGCCGCTCTGCGCCCCTCCGCGGAGCGCCCTGGGAGGGCAGCGCCGCCGCCCTCCCGCCGCGCCCGCTCGAGCCGGCCTGGGCCAACACGGCTTGAGCCCACATGGATGCGGCAAGAGAGAGAGAGAGAGAGAGAGAGAGAGATCGAGAGAGAGAGAGAGCGAGAGCGAGAGAGAGAGAGAGCGAGAGAGAGAGCGGGGAGGAGGTGGAGGAGGGAGGGATGTAGGGCGGGGATTTGAGAGGAGGGTGTGGAGATGAGAGATGAGATGAAGATGCGAGATGCGGTTTTTGGTGAGTGGTCCGGGGAGAGAGGAGTGAAAGAGGCAGGAGGAGGGAGGGGGCGGGGGGGTAAGACGGGGGGGAGGGAGAGGGGGAGGTGAATGGAAGGAGGGAAGGGGGAACCGCGGGTGCTGGTGGGTGGTTTGGTGGGGGGTGGTTTGGCTCCCCCCCCCCCCCCCTTTGTTTTTTAAAAACAACAATTTAATAAATTTAATCATATGAACGAACTAGTTGTAAATTATAATGTCTAAAATTACATATAATTTGTATATAAAAAATTTATACCTATTATTTAACCAATATTTACCATGATCTATCGAAATAAAAAAATATTAAAACGTATGGTGCGTAGTTGGATTGGGATATTTTTAAAAGGAAATAACGTAAGTAATTTTTTTACAACGGCGACGAAGTGCACGAGACGACGGGGGGAGACGGCGGCCTGGCTTGCGGAGACATCGGCCAGCCACGCTAGCCTCTAGCCAGGTTCGGCGGCGACGGGAGAACGCGACCAACGTAAGGCAACATGCTCGAGGGAAGAAGTCGGGGGCGGCGGCGATGGCCGCGGCGGTGCCGGCGAGGGCGAGGCTCAGCTGCCTCCACCGTGGCTGGCGGTCGCGTCAACGCTGTCTCTGCGGCCTGCGCTGTGCCGCGCCGGCTCCGCGGCGCCGCTGGCCGCCGTGACGGCTGCTCTGCGGCGGGCGGCGTACGCGTTCCTGCCCGCCGCCCTCTTGCGTTCGAAGCTCAGGGCGGGCGCTGACGACATGGAGACCGGTTGAGCGACGAGGGCAAAAGGGGCCCTGCGCACTCTGTCTCGACGCTCTGGTGAGATTTAGCCTGCAGTCATCCACATGCGGGGTCGCCGACAGCCAAACCTAACTCCCTCGCGAAGCAGCGCGACAAAATTTGCGAAGCCAACAGGGTCCTTACTCACGACATGCACACCGACCTCAATCGATGGATCGCGCAGGCCACGAGCGTGGGGCGCCCGCGAGGGAGCATGGGGGCGCTCGCGCGCGGCCTTGCTCGGGGTGCCGGCGCGCGAGGGACCTCTCGCGGTCGGCCCCCTCCCTGTCCAAACCCTCGCGTGGAGCTGGGCCCCTGCTGTTGCAAACGCAGCGCCGCACGTCTCCCTCCTTCCTCCTGGCCCTACTGCTACTGACGCACCCGAGAGGCGAACCTGTGGCGTCCAAGCGCCCCCCCGCACCGCCGCGCCGCGCCGCGCGCTCGCCGCCGCGTCCGTGCACCGAAGCCTCTGGGGGCCCCTCGAGGCAGGGGCGAGGCTCAGGGGCCCGGAGGCAAGCGAGGGGCAAGAGGCGGGGCCCCCCAGAGCGCGGCACCAGGACCACCGAGAGGAAGGGGGGGGAGGGGCCCCTTCTCCTGGCCCCTGCCCCGCTACATCTCTCCCTCCTGCGCCTCTGCCTGCCTCTGCTCTCTTTCCCGCCCATCTCGGCACACCCTCCATTCGTCTCGTGTCCCTCGGGGAGGCCCCCCCCTGCGGCCTCGGAGGCATCGCCCGCATGCCGCCACCCTTCCCACTTCGGCGTGCTCCGCACACGACGGCTCGCGCCCCGGCGGCCTTGCACGTGTCGCGCCCCGCACGAAGCACCCCAGTCATTTCGGCACACCTTCGCACGTTCCGCGCTCCCCAGGGAGCTCGACCTCGGCCCATGCCGGTGCACCCCGCACTCGTCTCGTGCACCACAAAGGGGGCTCCACCTGTGGCCCAAGCGATAGGGTCCGCATGCCGGACGCACGCCCATGTCGGCACACCCCGCGCGGCGATCGTGCCCCAACTTCGCTGGCCGCCCTCCGCCGTCTCCCCGAGCTTGGTCCGCAGGTCCATACGGCAGAGTCGTGTCGGGACGACCACAACACTGATTCCTTCAACGATCGGCCGTTGCAGAAATGCCAAAACGTTCAACGGACCGGCCGATTCTGGGCCACGAGCGGTGTCCAACCTTCAACGCCCGCGCCAGGGCCGCCGCCAGTCGACACGGCGCGAACCTGTGGTATCCACACTGCCCCGCGGCGCGCAGCGCGTGGAAAGAGGGGCGCGCCGTGCGCTACACGCAGCCTCCCGGGGCCAGGCCCTTTGCCACGCTGCCTCTCGGGAGTCGCCCAATCGGCTTGGAGGGAGGCGCGATACTCAGCGGCACCCACGCCGACACACAACAGCTGGCCGTGGCTGGCACACCTTGGCGGCGCGCAGGAGAGACAGCAGCGAGGGGTGTGGCCGCCTCATTCATAATGCTTGCTTGACGTGTGTGTGTGTGTGTGTGTGTGTGTGTGTGTGTGTGTGTGTGTGTGTGTGTGTGTGCGTGCGTGCGTGCGTGCGTGCGTGCGTGCGTGCGTGCGTGCGTGTGCGTGTTTTTGTGTGTGTGTGTGGGTGTTCAGAGATTCTCCTGCCCGCCACCCGCGCCCTCGAGGCACGAGCTGTGGAGCGTCCTCGGGCCCTTGGCCTCCTTCCTCAAGCCGGAGCCCTCCACCTTACGGACTCTTGGAAGGGGCCAGGGCCCCGAATGCACAGATCTCCTTGGGCTCCCGGCGTGCCACCCGGGCTTCCCCGCGTGCTCCCTTGGCTCCCGCGAGCGTTGTCGCATGATCTGTTCGGGGCCAAGGGGGGCCCAAGACGGGCCAAGAGACCCCCAAGAGCTCGGCCAGACGGTCCAAGGGTGCCCCGATTCGCCGAACGATCGGTCCAAGACGCCCAGAAGCTCCCGAGACGCACAGAGCAAGCCCCAAGAGCATTTCCAAGGGCCCCGAGAAGTCACTGAATTCTTTAATGTTTTCGGGGTTCTCCACTTTTCGAGCCTCCGACGCTCTAAGACATCCCAAGAGGCAGAAGCAAAAACCCGAAGACAGCTCCAGAGGCTCAAGAGGACCCCAAGACGGCCCAAGAGGGCTCCAAGACGGCCCCAAAGGGGGCCCACGAGGGGGAGCAGGAACCGAAAATCCGAGCCTTCCGCCCCCAAGAAGCCCCTAAGAGGCCCCTACGAGAAGAGGCCACCACGAGGCCCTCAGAGGCCCCCCAGAAGCCGCAAAGAGGCCCCAAAACAGCCACCCGCAAGCTTCAAAATTGGCTCCAGCAGGTCCCAGAGAGGCTCCGGCGAGATCCCAACAAACATCCAAGAGACCTCAGGCCCACAACCCAAGCACAGTGGCGGGATGGGCCGAAGGCCATCAGATCCGCCGCCCCCTTTTGATTTATCAAAGGGGTGCCTGACGTGCCAAATGATATGGCTTTTGGTTTTGGTTCTTTTTCCTGAAGAACTCCCCCTGGGGCTTCGGCCCGTCCGGCCGGCCACCCGGAAAACCCGTCTGTCGTCGCCAAAAACGGCCGTTTCGAACGGGACATCCTCAAATAATTGCGAAGATGGCCCAAGATGGCCTCCAAGTCCGCCCGTCCAAGACGGCCCAAGAGAGTCCAAGACAGCCTAAGACGGCCCAAGAGGCCCCGCAGAGGCCTCCAAGACGGTCCAAGAGGCCTCCAAGAGGTCCTCCAGGAGGGCCCGAAGAGGCCAAAATCATTGATTTTCCGTAGGTTTTTGAGGATTTTGGAATTTGCTTGTTCTCGGCATTCCGACGGCTCAAGACGCTCCAAGACGGCCCTGAAGCATTCCAAGAGGGCCCCAAGTCGGCCCATAGAGGCCCCCCAAACGGCTTCCGACGGCGTCAGACGGACCAGGAGCCCACCAAGACGGCCGAACATGGCCCTAAGATGGCCCAAGACGGCCCAAGAGCCCTCCAAGAGGGCCTCTCCAGGAAGGCCCGAAAAGGCCAAAATCATTGATTTCCAATGGGTTTTTGACGGATTTTGACTTTTGCTTCTTTTCGGCCTTCCGACGGCCCGAGACGGCCCAAGAGCCCCCAAAGATCGCCGCAGAGGCCCAAGACACGACCCCAAGAGGCCCCCAAGACGGCCCAAGAGGTCTCCAAGACGCTCAATGTGGCCTCCAAGACAGCCCAAGAGCCCTCCAAGACGTCCTCCAAGAAGGCCCGAAAGGGTCAAAATGGCCTCAAGACGGCCAAGATGACCTTCAAGATGCCCACGTGTTCCCCGAAGGCTTTCCAAACCGATTCGGGGAACACATGGTCCGATAGCTTGTCTGGCCTCAACGTTCGGCCACATAGGCGCTTCCAAAAAGGCAGGGGGCGGCGGTGATTCGCCGAAGGCGTCTTCGATCCGCCGCCCCCTGTCGATTCATCGCAGGGGTGCCTGGCGTGCCCAACTATATGGCTTTTGGTTTTGGTTCTTTTTCCACAAAGAACTGCCCCTGGGGCTCCGCCCCGTCCCGCCGGCCACCCGGAAAGGACCTCAAAACGCGTCCGTCGTGCCTCTGTTTCCTCCAGTTGGCCCAAGATGGCCTCCAAGACGGCCAAGATGGCCCAGGATGGTCTCCAAGACGTCTCCAAGACGGGCCAAGATGGCCTCTAAGACGGCTAAGATGGCCCCAAGATGCCTCCAAGACGGCCCAAGATGGCGTCAGGATGGTCTACGACGACCCAACAGGCCCGCAAGAGGCCTCCAAGATGGCCCAAGAGCCCTCCAAGACGTCCTCCAGGAAGGCCCGAAAGGGCCAAAATCATTGATTAGCCTTAGGTTTTTGAAGGATTTTGGCATTTGCGCCTTTTCGGCGTTCCGACGGCCCAAGACGGCCCAAGAGGCCCCCAAGATCGCCCAAGAGGCCCCCAAAAGGGCTCCATGACGGCCCAAGTGGCCTCCAAGACGGCCCCAAGAGAGCCCCAAGACGGCCCCAGAGGCCTCCATCACGTCCAAGATGGCCTCCAAGACACCCGAGATGGCCTCCAAGACGGCCCCGAAGCGCCCCAAGAAGGCTCCAAATCGGCCCAGAAAAAGGCCCCGAAGACGGCTCCCGACGGCGTCAGACGTGCCAGGAACCCAACAAGATGGCCGAAGTTGGCTCGAAGCTGGCCCAAGACGGCCCAAGAGGCCCCCAAGAGGGCCTCCAGGAAGGCCAGAAGAGGCCCAAAACATTGAATTTCCTAAGGGTTTTGGCGGATCTTGACATTTGCTTCTTTTCGGCCTTCCGACGGCCTGAGACGGCCCAAGAGCCTCCAAAGATCGCCAAAAGGCCTCCAAGATGGCCCCAGAACGGCCCAAGAGGGCCCCAAGAGGCTCCCAAGACGGCACAGGAGGCCTTTAAGACGCCCAAGACAGGCCTCCAAGACGGCCCTGGAGCATATCAAGAGGGCCCCAAGTCGGCCCATAGAGGCCCCCCAAACGGCTTCCGACGGCGTCAGACGGACCAGGAGCCCACCAAGACGGCCGAGCATGGCCCTAAGATGGCCCAAGACTGCCCAAGAGCCCTCCAAGAGGGCCTCCAGGAAGGCCCGAAACGGCAAAAATCATTGATGTCCCATGGGTCTTTGAATGATTGTGTCCTTTGCTTTTTTCTGCCTTCCGACGGCCCGAGACGGCCCAAATGCCCCCAAAGATCGCCGCAGAGGCCCAAGACGCGGCCCCAAGAGGCCCCCTAGACGGCCCAAGAGGTCTCCAAGACGCTCAAGATGGCCTCCAAGACGGCCCAGGAGCCCTCCAAGACGTCCTCCAAGAAGGCTCGAAAGGGTCAAAATGGCCTCCAGACGGCCAAGATGACCTTCAAGATGCCCACGTGTTCCCCGAAGGCTTTCCAAACCGATTCGGGGAACACATGGTCCGATAGCTTGGCAGGTCTGGCCTCAACGTTCGGCCACATAGGCGCTTCCAAAAAGGTAGGGGGCGGCGGTGATTCGTCGTAGGCGTCTTCGATCCGCCGCCCCCTTTCGATTCATCGCAGGGGTGCCTGGCGTGCCGAACAATTTGGTTTTGGTTCTTTTTCCAAAAGCACTCCCCCTGGGGCTTCGGCCCGTCCCGCCGGGGTCCCGGGAGATTCCCGAAAACCCATCCGTCAATGCCTTTGTTGCCCCAAGTTGGCCCAAGATGGCCTCCAAGGCCTCCAAGACGGCCAAGATGGCCCAGGATGGCCTCCAAGATGCCTCCAGGACAGCCAAGATGGCCTCAAAGACGGCCAAGATGGCTCCAAGCTGCACCCAAGATGGCCCGTCTCTTTTTGGACCCTGCGAACCTTCCGAATGCCGCTCGCATAAGTACAGGCTTCCATGTCACGTCGCCGCCTTCTCGTCACATCTCCCAAGCTACTCCTGCCCCGCATTGCGCAGAGGTTGGGTACGTCGCCAAGGTCATTTTCTGCTTGTATTGGGTTTCTGTTTCGTTCCCACCCCCCCGACGGGGGCCCCTCCCCCCGACGGGGGTCAACGTCGCCTCGTCGTCGCGCCGCGAGGGGGGTCGGAGCGCCTTCGGCGCGCGGCGGCTGCCCGCGCCGGGGGTCGCAGCGGGGCCGTCGGCCGGGTGGACGCCCCCCCGACGCTGCTTGAGAAGCTCGGGGTGTGCTCCTCTGTCCACGGGCCCCTCGCCGGAGCGGCAGGCCCGGAGGGGGCTCGTCTGTGAAGGGGGCGCCTCTCGCGGTGAACAAGGAGGGCCCGCCGGGACCGCGGAGGAGGGGCCTGGGGCGGCAGGGTTCACCGCACCGGCCTTGCAGACGTGCTGCAGCAGATTGCTGCGTGGATTTTTGCCCGAAGCGGCGAGTGAAGAACGACGCGGGTCTCGCGTGGACTTGTTT